TACCTTCCTCCCTCTCTTGTTGTAGATGGTATGCTAAGGATCCTCCTTCTGCCCAGACCACTCGTTATAAGCTGTTGATGTGCTGGTACAAACAATGCTAGAGATCCAGCTGCTAATTAAGCAAGTGGTTGAAGGCAGAGTCTAAGGTAGACTCCATCCACCCTCGACGAACATCATGTGCCCAGGCGTGACAACTGCCTTTTTCGGAACAAGTCCAGAGATAATTCTGTAGAATAGTCTCTAGCTACAATTGGGTTATTTTATTAATATTAATTAATTTTATAACCGGTCTAATCCTTCGACCAGATTTGGGATAAGATGCCAGTCTAGTGTTCTGTCAAAAAAGAAAGGGTGCAAATTGTAACTTGGGCCTGAAATAAGCCAATGTGTCAAAAGATTGACCCAAATGATCACTTGCACCTTCTCTGGCATTGATGAAGTACTCGAAGATGCAGAAGACACGGTCCACCAATCTTTTCAAGAATTTGACAAACCTGGGAAAGCGGGCCTGGGATGAGCTCAGTCCAGAAAAAAATCATCAGCAGGCTATCCCCACGAAAGAGACAGAGAGATGAATCTTTGGTGCGTATAGAAGGAATATAGCTGCATTTGTGCTAATGAGCTTGCTGTAGACTCACGACGACACATCAAATATTGAGACACATCCATTTGACACGTAAGACCGTGACACATTGCACAAAACATTTCACGTTGAAACGGTGCACTAGGGTGTGGCCGTGAAATCTAATGAAATCAACTAGAGAGTGAAGCGAGCTAGTCACTAATCACAATCCAACCAAAATCAAAACAAAACACTGATCCAATCCTAATGCTCGTGTGTGTGTGTTCGGGGAAGTAGGGTATGTATCACCCGTCAAGAGGGTGTGCAAAGGTTTTATAAGACTCTGTTTCAATAGCAAACTATGTGGTTTAAGCACGGTTATGCTGGGGTAGCAGGGACTTCATGCCAACAGAATATCAAGACTCAAGTAAACCTTAGACTGTTCAAGTCTTCAGTTTCTTTGTGAGCGGCAGAACGTAACACTCCTGGCAACTAGCCAAGAAGCAGAAGGTAGGGCAGACTATCAACAGACAGACACTACTTCAATATCAACTTTAACTGCACGAATGACGGTGGTATCAACGAAATGAGGGAAGTTACACAGAAGGTGGGGGCTGGGCTAATCACGCGGACGGTTACACTAAAGGCGGTGGTCTCACTTCTATTAACAAGTCTTAACCTGGAGGCCTAAAGCGCTGCTACAGGAGACAAGTTGAATAGGTTGAACGAGGGCTCTTATATCAATGCAGTGGTAGTCTTTTTGATGTCCCGTATCTTCTAATCTTTCTGTGCGTCTTCAAATCTGTCTGATATCTTTTCACAAATCTAGAGTCTACTATATTGCCCGTATATCTGGGTGGATAGTTTACTGGCTAATACGGAGTACACAGCTGGCTTTTATACATTTCAGAGAGAAGTAAAGGAGATAGACGGAATGAATAGAAACAATAAGGGGTGGGAGCCTGAGTAGTGAATGGCCAATGGTGTAGAAGACATTCTCAACCATGGGTATTATGACCTGCTACCGGGGCTAGTCCACATGTATTTCTCTAGCACACCATAAGACGTGCTTAGTTGTCTTGGTTTCCATCTTTCTGACTGAGCAAGTCAGTCTTTTAGTCATTGCTGACTGGTCAAGTCAGTCTTAGTCAATTCCTATTCAACTTCTGTATCAGTCCCGTACTTCACAAGCTCAGTGGAACTCATAGTACATATCAAGCGGATTGAGAAGATAGCGCAGCACTATACTGGCAGACCAGTATAGTGACCAGTGCAATATAGTGCCGCGCTATTCTATAGTGTCGATCCTCATTGATTATATCAGTAAATCCTTGATGTGGGGACCGCATCTTTCTAACGGTCAGATCTGCCCGAGTAACCACAGTGATGGTTAACTCGGTAATATTTATTCATCCCAATCTAATCAGTTGGTCCGATACACAAAATGGTGCAGTGCTATATCTCTGCCGGCCCTAATGTGGTTGTACCAATCCTGACTTTGTATATCTTGTTTTAATAGTCATCAGACTATTCAGAGGCTGTTGAGGCAGCAAGTCAATAATTCTGAGTAGTTCCCTGATGTTTCACCTCCAGCGCATAAGATAATGGCTTACCATCACCATCTATAGCTCAGTGTAGAATATCCTAGTCAGGACATAACAGCCTTTTGGGCTGCCTTGTCAAGCCTACTCAATTCTTTATAGTTGATTTGTTACACTGACTTTCGGCCATCAACAGTGTAGCCTACCACCCCAGGGAGGGTGTACGCTCATAATCTGATGCCTCACTTCTGCCCACTAATAGGTTCAAAATGAAATAAAAACTGGTGTTTTCATGCATGTTTTGGTACACACCCTATCAACGTGTCGGAAGATCCATTCATTGTGTTGATGTAATCATTTGCTGACCCCAGATTCACATTGGAGGGCCTGGTCACCGCACCATCAGCCCGTGAATTCACATGGAAACTGCCAAAGCTGTGAAAGCCAACTGTAGAGGAGGTCGAGGACAACAATTGTTCAACCTACACATTCCCACCCCCTGCTGGGCCATGCCCTCTGTCCCCTCCTCCTATTTCTTCATCTTCGCCCACCGAGGATGATCTTGATTCTGCTATTGTTCTGGAGACCGAGGATGAGCTCTTGGCAACATCACCTCTGCATGATGACAATTACCAAAGACTGTGTGTATCTCACACCTTTCTGGATTGTATGCATGAACAAGCGACGCGCATGGGAGCACTCCGTCAGGCACACAATCTTGGGGAGGCCAGGGCTGCTCTGGACTGTTTGAACAGGTACATGCACAGGGAATTGTGTGGTACTGATATCTTCAGGTTATGGGGTGTCAGCTACAAGTCTCCCGATATCAGCGCCTTCACTCGGAACCAGTTGATCAGGATTCAGACAATGCTGAATTTTTATTTGACCCTGGGGTTGAAGGGCAGGACCTATGCTTGCTGGGGTGCTTCAGCTTGCCTAGCAGCACACGGTCTTGGGTGCAGGAAGCACTGTGCACGTGTCCTGGCTGCTCTCTCCCGGGAATTTATTCTCACTCGGGAAGTCTTGAATGCGAATCCTTACGGAGAGTGGAATGAGAGCATGCTAGCCAACAAAGATCTTGCCAATGACATACCCCTGCATCTGCAGACGCTTGGGAAAGAGATTACAGCTCAAAAATTGGCAGATTATTTGAATGATCCCAAAATGCGCGAGGAACATGGCATTGACAAGGCTGTATCCTTGACTACAGCACGTCGGTATCTGGACAAATTGGGATACAGGTCAGTATTTGCGGAACATCCAATATATTCTTGGCCTCACATCAAGGAATTAATCAGATTCACATCTCCTAAAAAAGGTCAATATGTTGATGGACACGAGCACCCAGACATTGTCTACTACCGAGACAATGTCTACCTGCTGTGATTATTTGAACTCCAAAAACGGGTTGCCATCTTCGACAACAACGGCAATCCCATCCATAACAAGTTCATGGCAAACGGACGTCGCGTCATCATTTGGTATCATGATAAGAGTATATTTTATGCACACGACCGGCGACAGGAAACCTGGTATCACAAGGATGCACCGGCGACACCATACCGCAAGGGAGAAGGGCATTCGTTCATGGTTGCCAATTTTTTCTCCTCGGATTTCAGCTGGCTTCACAATCCAAATAACCCCACTCAACATGCACACTGATCCTTGTGACCTGGCAAAGGTTGTGATGGCTACTTTACCTCGCAGGAAGTACTTGAGCAAGCGGCGGCTGCCTGTGCACTTGTCAAAGAACTTTGGCCCAATTTTGACCACATCTTTGTATATGAAAACACAACCACTCACAAGAAGCGTCCCGAAGGGTCACTCTCAGCTCTTCGCATGCCAAAGGTGTCTTCTGGGACAAGGAAAGGTCAGGAGTCGGCCAATTTTCTTGTCGAGGTCAACAAACGGGACATGGAGGGGAAGTTGGTTTATGATTCTCACGGTAATCTCGTCAAGGACAAGATAAAAATGATGGGTGCACACTTTGACGGGCATGGTGCAGGATCTTTACTTCCCTGATGACCACCTGCAAGTTCAAAGGGATGAAGAAGATTGTAGAAGAGCAGGGGATGGACCAATACACCAATTTGCGATCCGAATGCGCTAAATTCAAGTGCGAAGATCAGAGTGACACATCAAAATGCTGCTGGCGGCGTGTTGTCTTTAATCTGCCAGACTTTGCAGCGGCCAAGTCTATCTTGGAGGACAAGTGTGAACGAGACCGACGGTGTTGAGGTTTTATTTCTCCTGAAGTTCTATTGTGAGTTCAACCCCATTGAGATGGTGTGGGGCTACACAAAGCGACTGTATCGGTTGAAACCCAAGTCATCACAGGAAGATGTGCTCGAAAAAAATACGATGGATTCCTTGGATGCCATGCCTCTGGTATTTATGCAGAGGTAAACTGTTCTGAACTCCTCTGGCATGCAAGCTGAAATCTTTGTAGATATGTCAATTGTTGTCATCAGTTCGGTGATGTGTACCTCAACCACAAGCTGACAGGGCCACAGGCTGCATGGATTGCAAAAAAGTACCCCGGCCACAGAACCTACACTGCCTCTATTTTGGAGGAACTCAATGCAGCAGGCATTCATTGATAGCATTTCTCAGAAAAAACTGTTATATTGTAACCCACAATAACTCTAAAGACTTTTTTTTTCTTCTAGAACTTCTGTGCATATATCTATATAATCTGGTTGAGGGGATTTTCCCTCACCCATCTATTTGTGCTAATATTAATTGTTTTCGTCGCTGTGTCCAAACATGGGAATGTGACCGTAATGCCACGTGATGTTCGTCGAGGGTGGATGGAGTCTACCTTACAAAGAGAGAGTTGGATCCAGCTGCTGTATAAGTGAGTCCTGATACACAACAATCACCCTGGTACTATCATTGGCACAATAGCTCAGTGGTCTAGAGCACTAGACATGAATCCTGTGACCCGGGTTTGATTCCTGGTTGAGCCATCTTTTGGACCATTTTCACAACATCATATTTCACTGTTGTTACCCCATCCTCAGTTGTTACCCTTACAATGCCTGTGTGAGAACATGTCCAAATATTTTGCCTCCACATGAAACCCTTGTACAATGTCTTCACAAGCTATTAGACAGGTTGTGCAAAAGCCACACAAGCTGCATGCGGCTTCACGGGGCTTTTTGGCATTGTGCAAAGCCGCAGGGAGGATTTCAATATCTCGAACTCATAAACCCACCGTAAATGATTCACATGAATACCATTTTGAATGTTCTATCCATGTGGCTATCGAATCAGATCCGGTGAATACAATGATTTGTCCTTGAGTTTCCACACTGATTCCACAGCACCCACAAACTCAATGACAAGTCGGACGACCATCCTATAGCCTAAAACACTCCCCTCCACTCAGTTGGCTCACTGAAAGTTCGACTCTTTCTGGATGAACTTAAAAAATCCCACGGCTTTGCACAATTCCCAAAAGCTGTATGCGGCTTGTGCACAACCTGTCTATTCTATGCACTTTTGGAGCTATTCGACAAGTATGATGGAGAGCAGCTGAGGCCTGTGATCAAGTAGATAACCTCAAATCTGGGGAATTTGCAGGAACTCCTGCAACAGGGGTTATATAACCATGCTTCAGATCTTGGAGATACAATTTACAGCATATCATTACTGACCTCATTTGACAGAGTCACTGGATGTGGCTATACAGTGTTGATAACTCGTGTTCAGCCCATTTTACCTGTATTGGATGACAACCAAGTGAAGATACAATTGATAGCTGAAATTTTGTGGTCATCTGGCTGCTATGACACCTGTGAACAGGACCAATTCATAACTCAGGCAATAAGCATCCTTAAACATGTCAATAATCCTCTCCATGAAGGTGAGTGTTCTTCCCTCTCACACAATTATTTGTCTGATATGACTACATCTCAGCCAGATTCTATCATGCAGCAGGAAACCACTTCCACTATAGCAGAGAGAAGTCCCCTCAAGCCATGTTATTTTTACAAAAGGCACTGCAACTTTCAAAGTTGTATCAAGACAGCAATTAGCAGTGTAATGCTTTAATAAGCATTGCCTCAGCCAAATCGGACAGTGGAGATTACTGCATGGCCCAGGTACATGCTACTGAAGCTCAATGGCTATCAAAATTGGATTCAAATTTGAGTAGGAGCTATATGCTCCATATCTCTAGGGAACTTCTGGCAGTACATACACCAATTATAGTGATTGTTGGTATCTGTGGCCTGGCAGGAGGACATCTTGACCACCAAATGGAAATTATCCAGGGAGAGATCCATCTTCTGAAATCGGAATATGCTGAGGCCAGGAAGATCTATAGTCAAATAGTTAAAACTAATTCCCCTGATCAAAATTCCTTCTTATATGCAGAATCCCTTCTTGATATTATACAAATTGATGCAATTTGTGGCTATACAGGGAAGCATATCACAAGTTGGACAGGGGTAAAAACTATTTTAAACAAGATCTCGATGGGAGACAATACACTGGTTGGGAGATTCAAGTTTTTCAGCACAATTTACAGTGAAAAATGTTGTTTGTTTTTCAGACATTTTTCACTGAAAAAGGTAGTGAAAAATTCAAAACATTTTCACTATTTTGTGAATTTGAGGTGAAAAATTCAAAAGGAAGCTCAAAAGAGGTGAAAAAGATTTGAATTTTTCACTGCTTTTTTCAGTGAAAAATGCCTGAAAAACAAACAACATTTTTCACCATAAATTGTGCTGAAAATATTGAATCTCCCAACCAGTGATATGCACTATAACATGCTCAAGGCTGATATCAAACTCAGAGAAGAGAAGTTTGACTTGGCTAGGATTAGACTCATGCAATGTCACAATTTATTCAATTCATTCCAAGGAGATGGCATTGAGTCTAAACTATTTTGCTCGGAAAGACTTGCTGTCATCTAGTCTTGTGTTTACTGCGGGGGTTGGATCATAGTGCAGCCTTATTATGGAATCTTATGTCAGCTTTCTCTGATTCTCTTCTCTTGACACCAGGGCATTCAAACTCAATCAAGTTTTGCAGCAGATAGCATTTATTACCACCTATCTAACCTTCTATCTCCTTAGGCCCTGTTCGGGATCCCCAGGATGGCTACAGTATCTAGATGCCAGGTACCAATTTGAGTAATCTATTGACTGAGATGGAATATGTTGTAGATGGAGGAACCGAAAGTGTTTGGCAGAGATCATCAACTGTACAGAATGGCCAAAAATGGAAGTAAAGCCATTGAGACGCCGTAACAAGAGCGCACGGCATCTAGTGCTATTTTGCGATTTCCTAGGACCAGTATTTATACAACGGGAAAGCGCTAGCACTTCTGAAGTGTTATTACTAGCACTCAGGACTCTAGCTAGGTGATATAAAGGAGAACTGGAGTGAGCCCAAGCTGCCGGTTGTAGCATCAGATACGACTAGTGTGATGCGCTAGTACGGTCTGAAGGCACAAACCATGGGGAAATAACCATAAGCCTACACAGTCAAGGTGCTAGCACATCTGGAAAACACCTAGTACCTACCTAGGTCTTGTAAGGGTCCCCTAGGCTTCTAGAGCCCTAGCAACCCCCCCTTTCTAGGAAAGGCTGCCTAGAATAGGTTTCTCTCCATAGACTCTCTAGAGCCCGAGACGTCTAGAGCCCGAGAGCTTCCAAGAGCTCCTAGAGTCGGGCTCCACCTAATACGCCGGCATCTTTGATTGGTTTGCGACGGCCGCGATCAGTTGTCGGATTCATCGGACTTTCATCGGACTTGTTTCGAGTCGAACAAAAGAAATGGAAAACCAAATAATATCTAGTAGGCTACAGCCGGAAAAATTATATTACGACCAGCACGACACGACTCTCAGTCCACGAGCATCGGAACCAAGTGTCGTAAGGCATCAGTGAGTGTGATTGATTTGATTCTTGATGTGTTGCCGACCATCGCCAGCAGACAGATCATGGTGTCGAGTGGGGAGCGGCCTTGAGGAAGTTTTGGAGCTTGATAGTAGCAGACAATAAAATATACTTTAAAAAACTCTTGGAGTAAGACTTGAGTCTTGAGATGACTTGAGAGTGAGAGGGAGGTGTCAGGCTTGAGAGGGGCGGGACTTGTCAGGAATGACACACTTGAGGCGGACTTGAAGGCAGGCTTGATAAAAAAAAGGGCAAGGTTGATGGTGGTATTGGGAAGAAGGGAAGAGGAGCGATAAGATTTGATGAAGTCCGCTCTTTATAACTTGAACGACAACGGTTGCGGCACTTCCGTCAACTGAGTTGATTGCATGCGGGCCAGTGATGCTGGGTAGAGTGCGATAGAAAAGGGCCAACTATCTAGAGGAAGATTTTCATGATAGACCTGCAGCTCTCAGAAGCTCTAGGAAGATACGCGACATCTAGGAACATCTAGCGAGACACTGCCACTCTAACACATGGGAGTAATTCTAGCAAAGAAAAACCAATTTGCAGATGCACCTATGGAGCGAGACACAGGAGAGTGGTATTGCGAGCACGCTAGCTGGAGGCGTGAGCGGCGAGTCTGGGATCTGAAGGGTAGTAAACTATGTGCTAGCAGCCTTCTAGCAAGGGTGTTAGTATGCAGAACACTACTAGTGATCAACCCGAGGCCTGAAACACAGATGCGAGCACGTGACTGTCGTGACGCGGTCACGAGTCACAAACAGAGACAAGTAGACAGTAGAAGAATAGCTAGCAAGCTATTGGTGCGGATGCGCGGGTCACCACATATGCAGTAACGGATAAATGGACTGCTAGCCGGTGCTCTGACTTGTGCTAGATGACTCCAGGCGGTGGATTCAACTCCGCTTCATCAGGATAGCGATTCCAGCAGCTGATGGCAAGCTGAGGGATCACTCATGATACCCATAAATGGACGCTAGCGGATCAGTGTGGCTGTTCTGCTTGGCATAGACCCATCATAAAACCAAACGGCAGTCGTTTCATTGGCTGTTGTATCTATCACATCATTTTCACTCATTTATATTATTCATTCTGTTTATCACATGTACCATGGACCTCAGTAGTATAAAGGGAGCACAGAGCAGGCTAGAATGAGAGATTATTACACCCTGACTTTGTACAAAGTTGGCGCAGGTGGTCTCAGGTTGCTAGTGGAGATTGTACACACACTTCACAAGTAGTAGCTTTATTGGAATCAATACTGTTGACTCTGGACATGTCGAGATCTTAAGTTGAGGTTCTAAGGTTGTTGGCTTGCGGAGTCTTCACGTATAAAACCAAGGGTGTTCTCTTCGAGAACCAGCTAGCAGTTGCGCTAGTAGCTTTGCCTTCACCCCGATATATTCGTAGTGTGTTGGATCGCCTGCTAGGTGATTGTGTGTTGACTCGAGCCCACTAAGAAGAAGACGGACTAGGTGCCCCCGCCTCTAGACCGACTGTAACTTGTCAGTTACTTCGCCTTCACCCCGATATTGACAGAAGTGCTGTCGTAGTGTGTTGGGTCGCTAGCTGGACGCTTATATATCTATTGCCAATACAAAGTGGAAACATTCCTGTTCTTGGTTAAGGAATAGGTCAGCGGCTTAAGGACTGCCTTGTCGCTTGAGGATTGAAGTCCCTTGTTGTTAGCCTCAATAGTCTTTGGGTAACCCCATTGTGAGGATTTTCACAAACCTACATACTCTGCCCTGGTGCCCTCGATCTAGTGATCCAGCACCTTGTATCCAACCCATATAACCCTGCCCATCCCAGGTGCTAGCGGTATTGTTGTTGGCAGCTGCGTAGTGCTAGCGTGTTTTTGAACGGCTTTGTTGAAGTCTAGCAGTCGAATTGTGTTTGTTCCAAACCCGCTGGTCGCATACTACGACCCGGACCTGAACTCACAAAGAGAAGCACTTACATCTTTGGAGGAATAGATTGTTGTAGTGGTGATTTTGTGGTTGTTTTGTGCAAGCACGAATCTAAGCTATTTCTAGTCGTATATCAAGTGCACCGTT